CCTGGCTCGGCACAGCACCTACCTGCCCAGGAGGGCTCCCGCCGCTCTCCCTTCCTGAAGGACCGTCGAGGGCTGCGGTTGGCACCACTGCCCACCGTCTCCACACCCAGTGGAAGAGACTTGCCCAGCTTCAGCTTCGACTTCTGGGGCAAAGAGAAGCATCTCAGTGTGAGGACATCCGAGGCTGGCCCCCTTCCCGATCCCCTTCCCTTCCCTCGGACCCTGACCACTTGTCTGTCCTGAGCCCAGGGCTGGGTTTGCTCTGAGGAGCGGGGAGGGACCCAGAACCATTTCCTCAGGTGAAGGGACAGGTCCCTGTGCCCCCTTCCCACCCTGCTCACCTTGCTGAGGTCGGGCGGTGGGCTGCTGCTGCGGGAGTGGGGCCGCAGGTCGGGCAGGGGCTGTCCCTGGCTCTCTGCCCGCAGGCAGGCCTGGTAGAGCGGGGATTTCACAAAGCGTGTGTAGCTGTCAAACTTCATCAGGTTGAAGATCTGCAACGGGAGGATGTGTGTTTAAGACCCCCACCCACCTACAGCTCGCCTGGGCCACTGCCCCATGGCACGGCCCTGTGGTGGCAGCAGCGATGCTGGGTGATACACGGGGTGGTCCCGCAGCCCCCATCCCACAGGTGGGGTGGAGCAGAGCACGGGTGCTACTTGTACCTGGAGCTGCTGGATACGAAACATGTCTGGGGAGGGGGTGGCCAGCATGTCCTCTCCAATCCAGGCCTGCTTGTCGATGTTCACGGGACTGACCGAGTGGCTGGAGAGGAACTCATCGTAGATTCGCCGTGCCTCCTGTGCCAGCTGGGGGAGTGGGGGTGTCAGGCTGGGACCAGGAGCCTCCTCCTCACTGCTACGCTATAGGGAGCCCCTGGCTTACCCCATGGAGCCACCTGAGCCCTGAGGGGCCAGGTGCCCCCTGGGACCAGCTTGGTACCTGGGCTTCAGGACAGGCATTGGAGCCAGCTGCCCCCACCCAGAGCCAGGCTCTGGGCACAACACGCTGGTCTCTCTGCAGAGGTACAGCCTGAGGTAGGAACCATCCCCCCCAGCCATGTGGCTCTGTCCCCACCAGCCCTGGTCTGGCTCTCTGCCCTTGCTCTCTTGTCCTCCCAGCAGCATCCTCCACCCTCTGGCCACCCTGGGCTGGAGAAGCTCACCTCGCTCTGCGGGGCAGGCGGTCTCGGTTGTGGCTTTTCAGATGCACATCACATCCATCTCCTTGTCCCTCCCGCAGGAGACCCCAGCCTGCTCAGCCTCCCATTACAAGGGTCTGCCGGGACCCTGGGACACGCAGGCACAATGGCCACCTCCACCTCCACCCAAGTTCCTCCTAGCTGCTGCGCGACCCAGGCTCAGCCGCACCATGGCTGCGTGGAGGCTGGTACCTGCTGCGTGTCACTGGCTGGGATCTGCTGGAAGCGCTCGCATGCCTGCCAGAAGTAGACGTTTTCGGCGCTGAATTCCTTCTTGAGGAACTCCTGCAAGACAGAGAGAGCTGCTGGCCTGGCCGGCACTGTGGCCGTGGGGCAGGCACCTGCCAATGGCAGACGGGAGCAGG